GCTAAACATTTTACCTTTTTTGACGATGTCATGCCTTTCCATGTTTCCCAAAGAAAAGTTTTGTGAGGAATATACGGGGCCAGGGGTTTTTTTTTGTCCCTTTTCTTCCTCTCTTGCACTTACATCTCTCTTCTCCTCACAGGTGGACATCTTCCAACATGGCTTCCAACTCTGAAACCCGGAACACCTACATTACAGTTTACATGCTCACTCTCCTAATTGGCTTTCCCACCAACCTGTTGGCCCTGTTTGCTTTCATCCAGAAGATTAGAGACAAGGCCACACCTAACTGCATCCTTCTCCTCAACCTGACCATTTCTGATCTCTGCTTCCTGGTTTTCCTCCTCTTCAAGATGTCAGAGCAGATCGCTGGCCGCTGGGCCCTTCCCCCTTTTCTGTGCCCGCTTTCTGGTCTTGTCTACTTCAGCACCATTTATACTAGCACGCTCTTCCTCACTGCGGTAAGCGCGGAGCGCTACCTGGGCGTAGCTTATCCCATCCATTACAAGCTGAGGCGTCATGCAGCCTATGCCCTAATAGCCAGCCTGGGCATTTGGATCTGCTCTTTTGGCCACTGCAGCATTGTGTATATCACTGAGTTCAAGCGGGACAACTACTCCCTTCTGAATATGCCTCCCAGTAATGTCTGTTACGACAATTTCACAGAGAAGCAACTCCAGGTCCTGCTCCCTGTTCGCCTGGAACTCAGCATTGTACTTTTCCTGGTGCCATTCCTGATCACCTGCTTCTGCTATTTTGGCTTTATAAGAATAGTGATTTCTTCACCACACATCTGCAGGAACAAAAAGCAACGAGCGGTGGGGCTGGTGGCAGCCACTTTAGCTGTCTTCATCATCTGTTTTACACCTTACAACATTTCCCATGTGGTGGGTTATATTCAGTGGAAAAGTCCTGACTGGCGGATCAAAGTCTTGCTTCTCAGCACCTTCAATGCCTGCTTGGACCCCATCATCTTTTATTTTTCTTCTTCTGCCATGAAGCATTCATGCTGTAGCTTTTGGATCAGAATAAAAGGAATTTGCATGTTGGTTCCTTTGCTCCATAAGCTCTTCAACAGAGGGACTGAGAGAACTGGTTCTCAGGATCAAGTGTGCTCTTCCCGCCTATGACCTCTGGTTTCTTGGAACATTCTTAAATCTTTTTTTGTAGGTCAAGTGGAGTAGCAAGTATCGTTCTGGTAATTACTGACTTTTTCAGCCAGGCCTCCACACTTGAAGCTTTCACTTGTGAATGTTGTTAACTGTAATTTCAGCAGTTTGAATAATCTTAGAAAGAAAATGGGGAAATATGTTGAGGATTTCAAATGCACGTATTGAAGTACTCCAGGTCTAATTGTGAAATGCATTTTGGAGTTGTTCCAATTGAGTCTTAATGGTATCTAAGAGGTTTTCTTTGCCTTCTTTCCATCTTCATCTAGCTGGAGATACACATAATTTGCAAAAGAGTTTTTATTTCAGTGATTATTGTGATACTCATGACAATAGCCAATGAACTGGGAATCCTGGGAAATGTAGAACCTGATGTCTGGATGTTACTACACAAGACAATACCATCATTTAGGAAGTATGGCAGGTCCTTATATTAGATGTCCTAAGTTGTTATATCTGCTAGATATTTTTTTAAAAAAAACAAGAGGGCATATGTAGCAAGAATGTGAGGAAAAGTACATTTTTAAAATAAGCAGTATGTCATGTATAAATAAGATGTTGAATTATTTGCATTTATATTAATTGAGTTGCTTTTTTTGTGTGTAAAAAATCTGCATCAGAATAAGTTATACATTTTTGTGATTATTTAAGAAACACCCTGAAGTGTTTTTTTTTTTTTTTTGCACTCTGAATGGTCTCGCCTGATTGGAAAAAACACAAGAAAGACTGTACATTTAATAATGTAGGGGTTACTAGAAAAAATGAGGTTAAATATTCTGTGAAACCCCCCCAAATAGTGGCTACCCAGGAGTCTCATGGCACTCAGTAAGAGCAGGATTTGTGCCATTGAACCTTTGACTCAAATCCAGATTTGGATCCACAACCATACAGCATATTTTGTATCAGAAGAAAAAAAAAATCTTGTGAAAGTTTTTCTTGGTGAAAATTCCCAAGGATATGGAATGCAGCTTTAATCCACAATGGGGTGGTGGAAAGATATTTCCCCCATCTTTTATAAGGGCCTCATATTTCGCCTCCCAACTCACTGAACAATAGCTAGCTATACAAATAGAGTAATGTCTACTTAGCCAGTGTATAGAGCTGTGTATCTCAACCTTGGAAATTTTAAGATGTACAGATTTCAACACCCACAATTCCTTGGGAATTCCTCCCCATGGAAATTCTGGTACCATACTGGTATAAAAAAGAAGGGTGCATCTTGCCTTGAGTTCTTTCCCCAATAAATGCACACGTTTAGCCATATCACACCGAGACATTGTGCAATGTGGTTTGAAGCAGAGCTAATAAATGGGAGAATGTTTTGCCCATAAACTGACACAGAGAAGTATGACTTGTTTGGTTTTTCAAACTGTGTAAGATGTAGTCCATGCTGAGCCAAAAAGCAAAGAACACCTGTGTGATACTACAGGAAGATGGAAATAGAAAACCTGAGGCCTGGCAATACTTTTCACCCATGTTTCCAAAGCTTTTCCTATCTGCAGAAAGTCAGTAGATGCGATGTAATTTCCTGGCAAAAAAGCATATCATAGATGGGAACTTTTGAGATAAATGGGAGTGAGCTAACGGTTACGACTGGAATAAAAGCTTCCTTTTTATTGGGTTCCAACTGCACTTTATGCTTTTCTTTTTTCTTACCTCTCTGGACACACCAATAGTTCTAAGGCAACATGGAACAGGAGAACAAAAGTGGATGGAGAATGATGGGCCATGGTTTTCCTTGGCAGAACATGATGAACACAGAGAATCGAGGTCCTGAACCTGCCTTGCATTAAATCTGTAAGGACAGCAAACTTGCTGTAAGAGGCAATAAATGCTATAATAGTCTGTTGTAGGAAGATTCTGTCAATCCTTTCTGTGTCCAGGGATAAAAATGCAATTTGATTAAGTGCCTTGGATCTGCCCCTCCCTAGTTCTCATGAAGAGAACAGCCTTCAAGGTAAACCAAACTAAGAGGCCAGAAGCAGGAATGCAAATACCACCTTATTATAAGGTTACCAGAACAATAATCTTGCAAATCTCAATGTGCTTCCACCTTCCCTCTCCTTATCTTCGTGAGAGCTAGGGAGGGTCATATTAGTGTTCCACTATCTCTAAGGGGTTGCCACAAAGAAGAGGGAGTCAAGCTATTCTCCAAAGCACCTGAGAGCAAGACAAGAAGCCATGGATGGAAACTAATGAAAGAGAGAAGCAACTTAGAACTAAGGAGAAATTTCATGACAGTTAGAACCATTAATCCATGGAACAACTTGCCTCCAGAAGTTGTGAATGCTCCAACACTGGAGGTTTTTAAGAAGAGATTAGACAACCACATGTCTGAAATGGTATAAGGTTTCCTGCCTGTGCAGGGGGTTGGACTAGACCTTCAAGGTCCCTTAGGGGGAAACTAACCTTATAAAACACATCTACACCAAGGCAGAATGTAAAAATGGTAACCATAGGAATCAGATTCAGCCTCCTAGTTGAAAGTGTTTAACCTGAAACCTAAATCCAGGTTTAAATTTACCTTCAACTAGGAAAACTTACCGGATTGGTTTGAGATGGTGGTACTCAACACAATCTATTTAAAGAAGTTATTGTGATTAGATATAGAGGAATTCCAAATTTGTGCTGCCTTGAGCTCTTATGGAAAAAAAAGAATATCAATGCAATACTCAACCAGGTTACTAACTTGAGAACCGCAGCAATTCACTTAACAACTGTGGCAAGAAAGATTGTAAAAAGGGGAAAAAACTCACTTAACAGAGGTCTCACTTAACAACAGAAATTTTGGCTCTCCATTGCGGTCATAAGTCAAGAACTACCTGTAGTTTGTGCTTTATTGGTCTTGTCCAAGCCGATTTTTATTTAAAATGAATTGAATGCGGACTTAATTGTTTTAAAATGTTTTATCATAGCTTGCAATAAAATAGTTCCAATGATGACTTGCAGGTTTAAACAATTTGCACATTAATTAAGCAAATAAACATGAAGTAAGGAATGTAGAGAGGATCGTACGGTCACCATCACTTTGAAAAGTTCAAAGATCCTGTATTGGTTTTATCCCTATTTAAATGGCTTATCAGCCCTTCTCACTGGGAAAGAGAGGCACCTACTAAACAGGAAAGGAGATGAACTTTGAAATCCTGATTCTTCTCCAAGGAAACCGAAAGAAGAAGCTGATAAGAGTAACTAAGAAAGTAACCTTTATTCCAGATTTGCAGTAGACAGGATGAAGCCAAAGTAGCAATAGCAATAGCACTTAGACTTATATACTGCTCTACAATGCTTTACAGCCCTCTCTAAGCAGTTTACAGAGTCAGCCTATTGCCTCTAACAATCTGGGTCCTCCTTTTACCGACCTTGGAAGGATGGAAGGCTGAGTCGAGAGAGAGGGGGGAGGGAGGGAGAGAGAAGGAGAGGGGGGGAGGTAGAGATAATGGATGGATGGATAGATGATAGAAGCAATAGCACTTAGACTTATCTACTGCTTCACGGTGCTTTATAGTCCCCTCTAAGTGGTTTACGGAGTCAGCCTCTTACCTCCAACAATCTGGGTCCTCATTTTACCGACCTTGGAAGGATGGATACCTGAGTCAACCTTGAGCCTGGTGAGATTTGGACTGTCAAATTACAGGCAGCTGGCTGTTGGCAGAAGTAGCCTGCAATACTGCATTCTAACCACTGTGCCACCATGGCTCCTACTGTAGATGTGGATATTGATTGGGGAATGTGACTGGTGACACACCTTGGAGGGAGAGGGCAACAGGGTCAGAGGCAAGGTGTGAACTGGGTGAAGTCAAAGCTGGCTTCACTTAGTTCATGCCAACATGGTGTTCCTAAAAAACAACTAGATTTTTCCTTGCTAAATGGCTTGAGGCTCCTGCTTTTATTAGGGCATTGGTCAGAACCTTGACATTAAGCCAGCTTTCCAAAAATTACCCCAAATCAATCAGATAAATGTTGGAAATGTCATCAGGTACCTGGTTCATATTACCACATGTGGTGGACATGCTCGGATGCAAAAAAAATTGGACTAAAATCCACACGTGGTTGGAAAAAATGATAAAAAAAACATATAGACTTTAAACCAGAGATCTTTTTATTGGGAATCATACCGGAAATATGCAACAAAGAGCTGAAATATTTGATTGTAAATGTTTTAACAGAGGCTAGAATTGTATTTCCTATGAATAGGAAAAATTATAAAATACCTATGCAGGAGGAAGTTATTAAGAAAATTATGGACTGTGCTGAAATGAGTAAATTGACATTTGAAATCAGAGAACAAGAAGATAAACAATTTTATATGTTATGGGACAGGGGTGGGATATGACAGGGTTAACAACCTGTTCAGGATTTATGAGCTTCCCTGACCGCTGCCTCTGCTGCTGCCAAGAAGCAGCCTTTGAAACAGCCTTTTCTTGGTGTTTTAACTGCAGCTGTGCCTCGTTCCAGCTGCAGCTGAAGTTGAAAAATCAGGAAATAAAAATCAGATAACAGCCTGGGTGGGTGGGTGTGCAAAAACATCAGCAGACATAGAACTGGTTCTATGTCTGCTGCTTCTTCAGAGCTACTGGTTCTGCAGAGGTGGACAGAACTGGTAGAAACCCATCTCTGATATGGGATTTGTTTTATCAATGGTTGGATAAAAAGACATGGTAATGTAACAGAATAGATAATTTTGTTATAGAAGTTTTAATAGATTGATATATAATGTAGACATATATAACCATTGGATGAAAGCACAATATAAATTTTAAAATAAAATTTGGGATATCTCATATAGAATGATGGAATAAATAGTTTAGTCATGGATGATTAATAATTGATGAATATATGGGCATATGTTAATTTGACAATGTGAAATTTATATAAACTGTGAGTGATGACTATGAAAAGATTGCACAAAAGATTCATAACCAACTGACACACTGTATGTATATAAAATGGAAGATGGTTTTGTGTTTTTATCTATTGTTTGTGTAAGTTCCAAAAAAACTGGAAGTGACGAAACAGGGGTAGATTTCAGCCTACAAAGCTTGTAGAAGACTGCAGAAGCCTTCCTCAAGCCTTTGGGAGGCCAAAAAAGACCTCAAACTGGCCGAAAATCAGCTGTGAGGTGCACACATGCACAGTGAGGTAAGTTTGCCTGCAGCTCGCGTGCCGGCACAAATGGCTCTGTGTGCCACCTGTGGCACATGTACCATAGGTTCGCCATCACGTCCCTAAGCCATGGTTGGAACTATTTTATTGCAAGCTATGATAAAACATTCTTTTTAAAATTGAGTCTGCATTCAATTCATTTTATTTTTTAAATAAAAATCAGCTTGGATAAGGCCAACAAAGCAAAAGCTACAGGTAGTCCTTGACTTACAACCACAATTGAGAGCCGAAAATTTCTGTTGTAGATTTCATTCTTCCTTCTCCAGCACTTTGCAGATTTTTAAAATTCTTTTTCATGCTTACTTGTCCTTTATACTTAGTTCTGCCTACATTGATATCGCCTGATAATTCTTTGGTCATGTGCTCTAAAATCTATTTCTTCAGATCACTTATTTTAGGTGTTGTTACAGCTCAAACAGGCCATATCCTCTTATCGCCTTTAACCTCCTCCCTTGTTAAAGTAAAAAAGGGTGGGGATGCTAATCATTTGCTATTTTACATTTGCCAGGATTACACAGCCAGTTACACCCAGTTCCTTATGGGTTCCTTATGGGACTAGTAACAGAGAATATATATTTCTGGTTAATTAAGCAAACTGAATGGCAATTGGTATAGAAAAAATGCAGTTTCCTTTCCCCAAAGTTTAAATGACCTCAAAAAACTGATGTAGGTTAAACAGGAGAATCCCAGGAATATAATTGTGAAGGAGGAGGGGAAGGGTAGAAACATTTTGGAAAAAAATTTCTTTCCCTTGCTCTTATTATTTTGCCCCTATCAAATTTAAATCAGAAATTCTCAGAATAAGTCTATTCTTTTAACTTATAATAACATGTTGGCATTTGAACGGCATTCCTAGAGTGATCACATTGTTTGATGAATTAGCCAAATGAAACTGATCACAATTTTGTACAAGCTTGGTAGACATCTTCTGGCCTTCAACATATAACATACTTCTTCTAAACAATCTAAAAACAATAAGAGAGGGGAAAAAAAAGAGGGATGATATGCTATTACCAACAACATACAGTATGTGCTTGCTTCTTATTTGCATAATGCATTTGTCTGGAAAGTAAGAAAAGTGAGTACAGTATATGCAAAATGTGTATGGATTAGAATGCATAAAGGCTGGGCCGATTCCATTGCAGAAAGGACCTGAAGAATCTTCAAACACCCAGGAATGGAAACAATAATCTGCCTGAAACTTATTAAAACAGCCATCCCACCCCCCTCCAGGATTATAGGGCAGCTGCAAAAGACATTCACAGGATTCCTGGAAAGACATAACTAATTTAAGGTATGGAGCATGGGTGCTATATTTGTATTCCCGAATATTCCATCTGTTCAAAATGTACAGCTTTTAAAAAGTGGAATAATTATCACAACATGGCCTTTTGAGAAGAGTATAACATTCATTCAAATATCCACCTACCCATCAGAGAAAAGGTTTGTAGATCTCAGATATTGAAATGAGATTAGCCTGACCACAGATCCCATCAGAGAATGAATATATTATATGTCAACTAGTTAGAGTAGTCCTTGACTTACAATCACAGTTGGATCAGAATTTCTGTTGGTAAGTGAGGCATGCCTGATTTTACCACTTTTTTTTTGTCACAGTTGTTAAGGAAATTTAAGGCAGGGAAAAGAAGAAACCGAATGAAATTGAACTCAACTGATGCAGCCTTAATGTTATAAAACATTACAAAATACAATTTCACTCGTAAAAGCAAGGTGCATGATAGTCTGAGGTTAAAAATTTGGGAGTAAAGAAGAAATACAGAGTCAAGAAGGAAGGAGAGATGGGTGCCTGGCCAGCTATAAGGAGCAACGTATTTGTGGATCTTGGCCATGGTTGGAAAAGAAAGGGCTTGGTCATTCTGTGGATGAATCAGGTTGGGCTCACAGAAGCAAATTTGCTCATGATAACGGGAACTGATTGTTTAACAAAGTGGCCACTGCCCATGATAACTTCCACTACAAGTACAGGCATCAGATGTCCTTATCCCTACTCCTATTGCAGAGGGAAAGGGAGACAGAAGCGACATCAAGATGCAAGTCAAAGTTGTGGCTTTTTTCCTGGCTATCTGCCTGCTCACCTTGGAAGGCACCTCAGCTAGACCTGGGGTAAGGACATTGGGTTGGGTGAAAGAAGGTTCCTATGGGATCTGTATGTTATCTGTATTGACACTCATTTAAATGAATCAAGTCTTTGGAGCTCTAGCTTCATTGACTGAGCATGGAATATCCCAGAACTGGGGTTCCTGGATTCACAATTGACTCCACTGAGTGTTTACTGTTTTTAAGACTGCTTTGTAGTATAAGAGTTATCAGTAAATTGTTTCTTTCCTGGGAATTTGCAGCAGGTAATGGATGGTCATAAAAGAACCACTCATACCGGTTGAGACTAAAGCCTACTTCAAGTATTTCAATAGCCAGAGAAGGCAAGCCACAAGATGGCATTCCCATTGAGCTGTCTAGTTTGTTGATGTGTTTGGGAAGGAGAGAGAAATAACCAACTTCTCTAAAAAGGAGGAGGAGAAGAATTAAAGTCCTGGAGGGATTTAAGTAGCATATATGTCATTCATTGGGTTCCTTCCTTCTTTCCTTCCTTCCTTCCTTCCTTCCTTCCTTCCTTCCTTCCTTCCTTCCATCCATCCATCCATCCATCCATCCATCCATCCATCCATCCATATTATGGTTTTGAGGTGCCCAGAGTTGTGATTTTAAGATGGCACATCATATAAGCATTTTAAATAAATAACTAGTGCTCAGGAAAAATTCTAAGTGTGACACAAATCATCCTTGTGCAGCTGAGATCTTTGTTTACTTAGTTGTGCCGCCTTTTCCCTGATGAGCTTATTCGCCTTTCTTTAAACCCTTTTCATTGGAAATGCCAAGCAATAATGAGTTTCTCTCTTTATGCAAATCAGACACTTAACTTATGGGTGATGACCAAAACTCACTCAGCGTTTTAATGAACAATAACCTAAGTCACCATTTTTGAACATGTACTTGGAGTCCACCTACCATCTGTTCTCCTTTTTCCCAACTTTGCCATTGTAACTTTCCATTGAAATATATGAAAAGGAGTATCTGAACTGCACACGTGAATTTGAGGAATTGATCGTGAAAAAGGTAGGTTGATCAGAAGAACTATGTTCAGATTCAGTTAGGGAGAAATATATACTAAAATATATTTGATGGAGAAATGATTCACCAGACCTTCTTCTAGGATTGGTTTCCATTTTCCAGTCTGGCTGTAAACTCAGGTTTAACAGATATAACACAGTTGGAAGAGATCTTATACTGTAGGTCATCTAATCCAACCCCCTGCCCAAGCAGGAGAACCCTACACCAATTCCAATAAATGGCAGTCCAATCTCTTCTTGAAAGCCTCCAGTAATGAAGCTCTCACAACTTCTGTTCCATTGGTTGATGGTTCTCACTGTGAGAAAATTTCTCCTTATTTCTAGGTGGAATCTCTCCTTGATCAGTTTCCATCCATTATTCCTTGCCTGGCCTTCAGGTGCCTTGGAAAATAGCTTGATCCACCTCCTCTCTCTGTGGCAGCCCCTCAAATATTGGAACACTGCTATCATGTCTCCCCTGGTCCTTCTCTTCTGACCAATTCTGCTGGTCTCCCTTCCAGTCTACTATCCTTTCTTCCTCTCCTGTAATTTGTTAAATTCTCTGATGTTCACAAAACCCTAGTGCATTTTCTAATTCTTCAGCAAAAAGAGAATAACTAGCTCTGTTTATTTTCTTTTGCAGAGTATAGACAGCTTTGACAACAACAATGTAGGATCTAACAGTTTCAATGATAATGGAGTAAGTATAAAATTTAATAATTAAAATGTAACAAATAAGCAGCCAAAATAACTGTATGCTTGGAGCTAATTTGTCTTCTTCATTCCTCAGTAGGAGATTTAAAAACTATTTTTAAAAGCTGTATAGAAACTCTTAAATGTACTCCCTTTCGATTCATCCAAAAGCTAAACATATTCTATTTTTCTCAAAGATAGCAGGTAAAAAGTCATTTGACAATTTTGCAGTACATGCTTAATTGTATTTTGCAGTACATGCTTAACTGAGTTATGAGGGGGATGATATATATAATAAAATGGCATTAAACAGTTCAATTAACCACAGAAGGTTTAGATTTTGTCCCAAATAGCCAATCTCCTAGCCACTTGTTTATGTTTTGTTTTAAAAATTACAGTAAGCATTTTCCCATTCGGATGTGTTTCTGTAACTTTATTCAGGGAACAAAGCAATAGTAGCTTTGTAAGATTAGGGAGACAGTGGGACAACTGCTAATTGTCAAAAGATTGAACCTTTAGGTTTCTCTTAATTTTAAATTGTGTTGTTTTCATTTTATTTTTCAGAACAGCTATAATTCTGGAGGTTCTGGAGGGGTATGTATTAACAAATATATAGATGCCAGTTTTGAGTAGAACTCAAAACTCAATCTTAAAATTCCAAAATGAGTCAACATTTGGAGAGGATGACATGTATATTCCTCCTGGGTGAAATTTCCTTCGGAGGGAAGGCTGCAAGGGGACAATATAGAGTACAAAGTTGCAAGATGCTCACTCTAGTCCACATACTACAGGTAGTCCTCAACTTACGACCACAGTTGAGCCCATAATTTCTGTTCTTAAGTGAGACACTTGTTAAGTGTATCTTGCCCCATTTTATGACCTTTCTTGCCCCGGTTTTTAAGTGAATCAATGCAGTTGTTACATTAGCAATATGGTTGTTAAGTGAATCTGGCTTTCCCGTTGACTTTGCTCATCGGAAGGTCGCAAAAGGGGATCACATGACCCCAAGACACTGCAACTGTCATAAATATGAGTCAGTTGCCAAGCAACTGAATTTTGATCATGTGACTATGGTGATGCTGCAATGGTTGTACATGTGAAAAATGGTCATAACTCACTTCTTTTATTTATTTATTAATTTATTTATTTTTGTCAATTGCTTACAAGATAATAGGTATAAGTAAAAACATAGTTATGAATACATGGGTACATATAAGAAAAATAAAAAATAAAAAAACAATAGGACAGGGACGGTAGGCACGTTGGTGCGCTTATGCAAGCCCCCTACAGACCTCTTAGGAAAGGGGTAAGATCAATAGTAGACAGTCTAAGGCTAAAGTTTTTGGGGTTTGGGAAAGAAACCAGTCAGGTAGAGTATTCCAGACATTGACCATTCTGTTGCTGAAGTTGTATTTCCTGCAATCAAGTTTGGTGCGATTAACCTCGAGTTTGTATCTATTGTTTGCTCTTGTATTGTTATGGTTGAAGCTGAAGTATTCATTGACAGGTAGGACATTGCACTTTATGATTTTATATACTATACTTAGATTGGACTGAAGGTGGTGTAGTTCTAGGTTTCCTAGGTTTAGAATTTCAAGTCTGGTGGCATAAGATATTCTGCAACGAGTAGAGGAGTGGAGAACTCTTCTTGTGAAATATTTCTGGACTTTCTCAACTGTGTTAATATTAGATACGTAATGTGGGTTCCAGACTGGTGACCTGTATTCGAGTAGTGGTCTAGGAAATGTTTGGTATGCTCTAGTTAGTAGTGTAATATTACCAGAGAAAATGATAATGGTACATATAGTTTAATGACTCTTTTGACTTCAAGTAAAAAATATGTTGTAATGGTCTTCTACAGTATTGCATCCAGTGAATAGAAATTGCCAATCAAGGGATGAGAGATTGTTGTTTATAAGATCATAGTTGCCTTTTTTGAAGTTATAATTGGGGATTCCGTCATTGTGATGATTTTTGTGTGGACCTATGTTGAGACAAAAGTCAATCATGTTGTGGTCACTGTTGGAAAAAGGTTCTTTCATTTGTATTCCCTAAATTGAAGTCAGACTATTGCAGAAGATGAGATCAAGGCAGTTGTTAAGTCTAGTATTGATGGTTACTAGTTGTTCTAGTCCCAGATTTGTTACTGCATTGTAGAAGGTTGCATGTGTGGGTTCAGTTGAACATTCATTAAGGATCCAGTTAATATGAGGTATATTGAAGTCACCAAGAAAGATAAAAGCGTGTGGGCAGGATGCTGCCCATACTAGTAGTGTATTTAGCTTGTTTGCATGTTTGATGTCATAATCAGGGGCTCTGTAACATAGTAAGAACCGAAATATGATATTTAAGGACAGTTCACAGATGATGGTTTCAGGAATAGCAAGCTCCTGGATAACTTGGATGTTTGTTAAATGTGGGGACTTTTTATAGAAGATAGCAACACTACCTCCTCTACGGATTTCACGATCTGATTGGTAAACATGATAGTCTATTACTGAGGTAATGGAGTCAAGGAGTGATGCGTGGAGCCATGTTTCACAGACAAATATGTCGAATTTAGCCATATTTAGTAAGAGGAGAAATTCAGGTATTTTATTCACAAGGCTTCTTGCACTGAGTAGCTTGCATTTAAGGCCAGTTAAATTTCAGTGCCATTCTAACATTGAAAGGTCATTCAGTGAACTGCTGTAAGTTAAGGAGTATCTCTACATGGCACCTCAACTACTTACTCTTTAGAGGGAAGGATCACCATTTAAAATGAGTTCTGCTGACTGTCTATATTTTGGCAGTTCTCAAAGGTATTACGTGATGGTCCTATTCCTGTTTGCTCAACTCAGTTGAAATGTATAAGCAAATAAATAGTTATTCCTCAAAGTCAACCTACAGCTGATGATGAAACGCTAACATATGTTCTTGGGCTCTATTTTTAGAACGGCGGAAGCTTTGATAACAATAAGGTTGGCGACAACAGCTTCAATGACAATGGGGTAAGTGGTGGAGAATGTGTTTTGTCTTCTTAGAGAGAGGGAGAGGAGGATCCAGCCTCTCAAAGACCATCAAACGGTCTTGTCATTTTAATGGAAAGAAGATTTATCTATAGGAAGGAAGAAGAAAGTCTTAATATCTGGAGCTACATCTTAGCAAGGAGATTCAAGAAGGCATACCTATGTGTGTTTGCTTAGGAGACAAAGACAGGAAGGAGGAGAATAGGTTAGAGATAAATTGGAAACCTAGACAGGATCTGAGTTTCTATCTCAGTCTTTCTCAGTTTGATAATTTTAAGATGTATAGATTTCAGTAGAATGGAATAGAATTCTTTATTGGCCAAGTGTGATTGGACACACAAGGAATTTGTCTTTGGTGCATAAGCACTCAGTGTACATAAAGAAAAAAATAAAAATACATTCATCAAGAATCATATGATACAGCACTTAGTGATAGTCATAGGTTACTAATAAGCAATCAAATCATACTAGGGAACAAATAAAACAAAATAGTAAATTGTAATGATACAAGCAACACACTTACAGTTATAAGTTGGAAGTGATAGGTAATAGGAAGGATTCCTATTACCCAAATTCCCCAGTCAGCATGGCTTGCTGAAGGATTCTGGAAGTCCACACCTCTTAAAGTAGCTAAAGTTGAGAAACATTGCTTTCTATATATCTCGCTCCTAATGATAAGTAGTGTGAATGGTTAAGAGCCAGTGTTGTGAAGTCCCACTTTCAACACTAGATGTCAGAGATCTGCAAATTATACAGTTTTGTGTAGTCCTAGAACAGATTCACGCAATCCTGGAACAGGTTCACCACAGTTCAAAGGCATCCTAGAACTGGACTCCTTTGGACTGAGGTGCTGGTAGCAACTATTATGCACCCCACGGACTGCAAAAATAACAAAGAAGTCCTAGACCCAAAATATCACTTGAAGCCAAGATCGACAAACAGAGGCTTTCGTACTTTGGTCATGTTGTGGGAGGTGACTCACTTGAAAAGTCAAGTCATGCTGGGAGTGATCAGTGGAAAAAAAATGGGAAGAAATTGCCCTAGTGCCCATTGGCTGGACACTATAAAAGATGATGACACTGGGATGACCATGATAGATCTGAAGGAGATAGTGCAAGTCAGAGGGGCATGGGGAACACTGATCCATAGAGTGGCCGAGGTCGGACACAACTGAATGGCTGACAATGATGACAAGAACAGATTGTGAGCCATGTCTTTGGACTCTTAATCTTTCAGAAGCCTGGAATAAATATTTAGAACCTCTTCCCAAAGTGGTTTCTTTCCACATATATGGTATGCTACTACTATAGTGGCCTGTTATCATGTTGATTAACTATCTCTTTTCAGTCCTGCCCCGCCTGGTGATTTCACTTGGCCGGTTCCATACAACAGTGGTCTTCGGATGGCTAATATTTTAAAGAAAAGCTTCCTACTAACTCATCCCCTCCATATTAACCACAATTGTTTGGAATTTTATTTTATTATGTCCAAAACATTTGTTTTCATTCTGCAAATACTCACTAATCACCGTTTCCTCTTCCTTCCCACACCAGACTGGTCTCAGACAGAAAACTACTGTATGGCTTGGTTTACAGAGCATGTAAAATCTGAATTAAGAAAAAAAAACCTAATAACAATGTTCTCAGATCTCATTCTTCTCAAAGAATCATATTACAGGTGGTCTGTGGAGCTTCTTGATCATCTAGGTCACAGTTGTATGAAAGGTGCTTTTTTCAAGAGGCAACTGGACTTTCTGGTTTTTCTTTGAAGACGTCTCGCTTCTCATCCAAGAAGCTTCTTCAGCTCTGACTGGATGGTGGGGAATTTATACTCCTTGCAGACAGCTGGTCATTCACAGTCCTTGAGGCCACCTGGAGGTTTATCTGTGTCCTCAGGGTCACCTGAGTGGTGCAAATGGGTGTGGAGCCTTCTTGGAACTGTTGAAAGGACTGTGTTGTTGACTGGAGATAGATAATGTCATATCTCTCTCCCTCTTTTGAGAAGGGCTCTTCAGTTTTGACATAGATGGCCTCTTTGACTGCTCTTTCAAACCAGCGGTCCTCTCTATCCAAAATGTGGACTTTGCTGTCTTTAAAAGAGCGCCCTCTGTCTTTTAAATGCATATGGGCTTAGAATCTTGTTCTATTGCTTTTTGGATGAGAAGCAGACCGTCTTCAAAGAAAACCCAGAAAGTCCAGTTGCCTCTTGAAAAAAGCACCTTTGGGACATTCCAGGCAGTCCTTCCATACCAATAAGTAATTGGGATGGCAACTCCTTTGTTAAGTGACACTGTCATAAATGCAACTTCATGTAATCATTTCAAATTATGACAGCAGTTGCCATAGTTTGGGTTGCCATCATTCAATGAACCCTATGCAGTTATTAGGCGTAATGTCAGGTGATCACCCTCTGTGACCACTTTCTGGCTTCCCCATTGACTTTGCTTCTCAGCTATGGAGGTCCCAAATGGTGACCCATGACCGTGGGATGTTGTGACACCATCATTATGAGCTGGTTGCCAAGCACCCAAATTGCGATCACGTGACTATGGGAATGCTGCAACAGGCAAAACTAGAGGAACACTTGTAAATCCCCCTTTGTTCAGTGCCTTTGTAACTTTTGATGGTTGCTGATCAAGTCATTTATTGATTTGCATGATAACCTTATTTAGACCTATAATAAGACAACGGATGGCCTTTCTCTCAGCATACTAAATCATAGTTCATTTCATTTCGGCCTGGTCTAATATGTTGTTTCCAAGGGACGTGGTGGCTCAGTGTATAAGACACTGAGCTTGTCAATCAAAAAGGTCAGCAGTTCCGTGGTTTGAGTCCCTAGAGCCGCGTAACAGAGTGAGCTCCCATTACTTGTCCCAGCTTCTGCCAACCTAACAGTTCGAAGGCATGTAAAAAATGCAAGTAGAAAAATAGGGACCACTTTGGTGGGAAGGGAACAGTGCTCCGCGTGCCTTCAGTGTTTAGTCATGCTGGCCACATGACCACGGAGACGTCTTTGGGCAGTGCTGGCTCTTCGGCTTTGTAACGAAGATGAGCACTGCTCCCTAGAGTCGAAAATGACTAGCACATATGTGCGAGGGGAAGTTTTACCTTTTTTAATATGTTGTTTAGATTCAGAATGAGATATCTTTTATTCCTCTTCCTCTTCAAGTTTTTGAGGTACTTTATAATTCAACAATCTCAAGAGGGTCTGTACTGCAGCTTGGATAGAACTTTTTTTTTTTAAATCAAAAAGTTGGTATAAAAACAATGTTCTGATTTTCTCCTCACTTTTCTGTATTTATTTTTGTATTGCAGAATTCCTATAATGGACCCGAAATTGTGGTAAGTTTGTATAATTCTGAACCTTTCTGTTAAAGGCTTAATTCTATTATATAGCTTTCTACTGGTAAAATCCCAGTTTTCGATTCTGGCCAAAGTCCCTTTCTGCTATGGGATCAATCATGAATTAGGCATCTGGATTTTGCATAAAATAATATTCATTTTGTTATGAAACCAGGGCTGGGTAGCAGGGAGGAGCATTGACAAATATAACAAATATAACAACTTCCTTGTTGAAACGGATCGGGTATCTACCTGGTTTAGAATACTGCTTCTACTGGGATGTTCCCAATCAGATACGGAGCCGTTTGTCTCCAGAATCAACAATTTCAGACTATATACATTGCACAACCACAATGTTTTACTTGTTATCTATAGGAAACTCCAGATGTTACCAAGTGCTTCCTTCTCTACAAATGAGAAGTTAATCATTGTGTGTAGATCTTATTGATAATAATACATGTACACTGAAGATGACATTTAATTTCATTGTACAAGGTACAGTGATAATAAACTGAACTAAACTAAACTTAAGAATCTCATGATCTTCAAACACTTTAAAATGTTTTATTTTTTTCTTTATAGTACTAAAAACCTACCACCACTGGTCCAGATGGTCTCTGCCCAGACTTTTCATCAAGGATATCATCACTGACTCAAATGATTCTTTTTTACTTGGTGTCGAACCTTTATCTGGTACCAACTGTACAAAAGCTTCTTCTTGCAAATAAAGTAACATGACTTAATCAATGTACCTTGCAGAACAACAGTTGTGCCTCCATGTGAATTTAGTACCTACTTAATCTATTTTACAATCCAATGGATTAAAAGGATCCTATGCATTAACATCAGTGGTGGGATTCAGCCAGTTTGCACCACTTCGGGAGAACCAGTTGTTAATTTTCTGAGCAGTTCGGTGAACTGCTTGTTGGAAGAAATCATTAGGGCAGAGAACCGGTCATGAAATTATTTGAATCCCACCACTGATTAAAATGATTTTATGGATTAATTTGAAAGGAGTGGAGGGGTGGCCTAGGGGTGCAGCTCTCAATCAGGAGGCTATGAGTTTGAACCTAGATAGGGCAGATATTTCTCTCTCTGGGAGCAAAAGGAAAATATCTGCTGTGAATTCCATGTTCATGTTCAAGAAGGGCATCTAGCCAGTAAGTGCTCAGCTCCCTTCAGTCGCCTCGACTCTACCCCAGTGCAAGGGATTACAGAGTTTTTAAAAGAAAAAGAATGGATTAATTTGAAAGTTAAGCCAATATCTTTCTTCACAGATCAATTGGTCAAAAAGCCATCCATCAAAGATTTGGGGAACTCACTGGCCTTCATCGGATTAAAGGGAGAAGAAAATTGTGTCAATTGACTCAATCGATTAACCCCAAAGGATTAAGTTTAGTTTAGACTCGGTTTAGTTTGGGATTAAACAGACACCTCCCAGTCTGGTATGTCATGCAAGCTGTTTCCCAGAGTTTTGATTAACTGTTCTGGCATCCGAGAACACGTCCAGGTTTGAAAACAGTTCTGTGAAACTGGGAGTCTCTGGAGACAATTTGGCTCCCTGGTTAATTTGCTTTTCAATGTTCCCAGTTATCCTCTGGGTAAGGATTGAAAAAAAAATTGAGGGTGAAACATAAGAGCAACAGGATCCAAAAGCTTTCCACCCCCAATTATGGGTCATTTGTGAAAAAAAATACCCAGTAGGGAATCATCAAAGAACGTTTAAACACAGGTAGTCCTCAGTTAATAGCCATACTTGGGACCTGGAACTCCATTGCTACTGTGGCTTTTCCAAACCAAATGCTTAGAAGCAAAAAAAAAAAAAAAAAAGCTTTTCAAACCCAAAAAGGAGAGCAGATATTTGACACAAGTTTGTCTAGTTCCCTTTTTTTAATTTTCCATAAGGTTGTATAGGAGGGACGCGGTGGCTCAGTGGCTAAGATGCTGAGCTTGTCAATTAGAAAGATCGGCAGTTTGGTGGTTTGAATCCCTAGTGCCATGTAATGGACTGAGCTCCCATTACTTGTCCCAGCTTCTGCCAACCTGTCATGTCCCTGTTGGAATCTGATTACAAGGGGGAGGTTGAACAGCTGGCAGGGAGTGAGGGTGTGGCTCCGGTGGCTGTGGAGGAAACTGGGGAAGGGCACATTCCAGGTGGGCATTCAGAGGAAGGCCCAAGCCCACCCTCTCTGCATCCTAGGGCACGCAGGGAGGAATGGATAAGGGAGCAACATGGGTTATGGGGGAGAAAAACGTCCTGATTCCCTTCATTAGTTGCAGCTAGGGAAACAGGATAAAGAGGATGTTTGCGTACAGAACCTTGCTGGAAGCAAAGCGTGCATTATCTTTGTTTATCAAGTTCTATCTGGGTTCTGGCGTCCTCCCAACTGTATGTGTTTTGTTATCTTTTGAGTTCTTCAATTCCTTATGCTGCCCTGTGTCGTTAATTGCTGCAGCGTGGTTTGTGTTGGTTTTTATTTATAATTTGTATGTACTTTGGGTTCAGACTGAATTTCTTCCCTTTAAAAACTGTTCTTGGGAGAGTTTTTTCTCCAGATGATGATAACTGGACATTGGGGGCCGAGTTGGAGGAATTAAAGGGACTTTACCTACTTTTGTGACTTTTGTTGCTTTTGTGCCACACCCTTGGTCAGCACACAACCTAGCAGTTCTAAAGCATGTAAAAAATGCACTTAGAAAAATAGGGACCCCTTTGATGGGAAGGTAACAGCATTCTGTGCATGTTTAGTCATGCCGGACACACGACCATGGAAACGTCTTTGGACAGTGCTGGCTCTTCGACTTTGTAATGGATATGAGCACCACCCCCTAGAGCTGGAAACATCTAGCATGTATGTATGAGGGGAACTCTTACCTTTAATGTTATATAGGTATTCCTCACAATTGAGCCCAAAATGTCTAATTGGAGTTTTTATCCATTTTACAATCTTTCTTGCCACACTTGTTCAATGAATTATTGCAGTAGTAAAGTTAGTAACATGGCTGTTAAATAAATATGGTTTTCCCTGTTGACTTTGCTTGTCAGAAAGTGTCAAAAGAGGATCACGTGACCCCGGGGACACTGCCTTCACCGTAACTATGAAACACTTGCCAAGTGCTCAAATTTTGAACACTGACCATGGAGATGCTGCAATGGTCCTAAGTGTGAAAAAACGGTCATAAGTCACTTTTTTTCTTTTTTTTTAAATAAAGTTTTATTTGGGTTTTCACACACAAAATACAAGTAAAACATCTTTTTTGAAAATAGCATGGTCCCAGGTTGAACTTCCTTATACAGACACAAAACTCAATTTCATGCTCCTTTTTGTATTCTATTCCATATCTTATACTATTTTACATTTTCTATATAGTTTTTCCCCTCTTTTAATTTTCTCAATTTTATTTTGATTATCTCATCTCAATTCAAATCATTAGATTTATACTTTTGTCTGTTCTGTTTCAATTTCATATTATCTTTTCTCATTAAACAAATTTTCCCCTGTAGTTACTAATTGGAGTATGACACCTTTATATCTTTTAATTGCATCCATTCAACTCTTATTTAAACTTCAATATATACCTTAAGTATATGACCTTCAATATAATACATAATACATAACTTCCAATCGAATTCTGCTTGGCACATTCTTATAATACACACTATATTCTTTAAAAAAAAAAGAAAGATTGTAAATATATGTAATTATAAACCCTCATTCCATTCCAGTTCAGTTCTATCATTAATAATCATTAAAACCATAACATCTTTAACACTTCTTTTCAATTAAATATCATACTTCCTTAAAAACACATATAATCTCCATAATTAATTTTTCCCTTATTTCTCTTCACATATGTTTTATAAATCATTAAATATTCATTTTGTTACATTTATTTATTGTCAAGCATTCCACTGAATTACGATAGCTATTTTATCAGACATTTTAATCATACATTGTTTCATATTTTCTAAAATTATTTCTGCTTCTAATATAACCATACTATTTTATGTACCTTTGCAGAATCCCTTTTTCCATTAAGTTTTCACCCATTATCTCTAAATAGGCCCTGTTTCTTCAGATTTTGCTTCTGTCCTTTATAACTTCTTTTCCTTTCTTTCTTCCCTCTCATCTTCTCCCTCCCCTTTTTACCCCCTTGTCTCTCTAGTTCTAATTTTCTCTTCCGCATTTCCCTCTTCTGTTGCTTTCTGATTTTATACTTATTTTTCACTCTATTTTGGGGGGGAGTTGTTTTTCCCAATCTTAAACTTTCCATTCTCTTTCTCCCCCCCTTTTTTCCCACCCATCTAAGATTACTTGTTCATTAAAGATGGCTTCTTCTTTGTCGCAATCTTCTTGTTCTGCAGGCATTTCTTGTTGTTTCTCATAATTCCAAATCTCCATTTCTAAAAACTGAAATACGATGCCAAAAGAACCTCTCCCTTCTTGTGCATCTTCTTTGTACTTTTTAAGTTCCATTTTCAATTCTTCTAAAAGTGGAGCCATTTTAAAAAGTTTTAAACAACCACCTGATTGATTTTAGTCATTCAAAACAATAACCAAGAGTCCAGAAATCATCAAGCAATCCAGATAGTCCCAAGTTATATCTTCTTATTTCTTTTTCGACTTTCTCTTCCTGGGGTTTTTGTTGCAATATTTCAGTTAGAATGTATCTTTTGGAAATCTTGTTGAGATTTTGCTGTAAGTTCTTTTTTAATTCCTGGCAGTCTCCTCCCTTCCAGATCCTGCCCTTTTATTCTTCCTCTCTCCTTTCCTGTTTTCAAAAGCTTTTAATTATCCAGAAATCTTTATTATCCCTTTGACTTTTTATTTTCAGCATTAAATGCCTATTGATGTCAAAGTGGATTTTTTTCCAATTTCTTGCTTAAGTCTCTTAGCTGTCAGTATAGGAAAAGGAGAAAACCAAATCTTTTCCCTTTTCTCTCTCCTTTGCAGCTTAAAAATCTTCTTAGGGAACAATGTTATTGTTTTTTAACAGTTTCAATTCCAGGGTACCTTATTTGTTGCATTTGCTGTTTGACCCGGTCAACCAAAACTTTCTCTTATCTTCCTCCTGCACATTCTTTTCTGGTCGAGCTCTTCTTTGTGGTGGCCATTTCTGACCAACCGCCTTCGGGAAAGGGAGTAATGGCCAGCTGGGGAGGAGAGATGCGGCTCTCCTCAATCCTGCTGGCAGTCTCCCCTCTCTTCACCACCTCTACAGGGTGGCTTAGCCTCAAAACCAGCCGGCTCCGGGTGCTCCAGCGGCGAGCACGGATCGAAGCCTCGCAGAGATGAGGTTTCGGTCTGTCGCTGAAGAAGCTCAAACCGGAAGTCCCCAAGTCACTTTTTTTTCAAGGCCATCGTAACTTCACTACACGAATGGCTGTAAATCGAGGACTACCTGTGTCCTCCTGGAAGTGGCAACAGCATGGCTGTTGCACTCTGGTGAGAAACAGTGAGAGTTTAATCTGACTGCCAGGGAAGGTGGCACTGTACTCTTTCTATGGCCCAAGGCTGATGCTAGGCTTACAAGGCAGAGGAGGCTGATGGTCATGCAGATATTTGTGGCGATTGAGACTCTCTCATTTATAGGCCTTGAAATCAGCGGTGGGATTCTACTGGTTGAGTCCAGCTCTATAGAACCGGTAGCTCCGAAGAGCAGCTGACACCAAACCGGTTTGCTGTGACAATATCCTGGTCTTCTGTTTGGCCCACCCGGGCTCTAGGCTGTGATTTATTCCCTGCTTTTTCCTCCTCAGCTGCTTTCTCCGGCACAGCTGAGTGCCGCTCATTAGCAGGAGAAGGTGAATGCTTCTTGGAGCTGGTAATTTGTTAAACAGTGCGCATGCAAGCGCAGCTCACCGAACCGGTTGTTATGCCGGTAGGATCCCACCCCTGCTTGAAATCATAAAAGGACAAGAATGGATGATACACTTACTTTATTGTCATTGAAAGCTCCCTAAACCCAGTAGACAGAAATAAAGTCACTAGTCCCACCACCAGCCCTGCTTTTTGGTACAATTCATCCAGTGAATGATCGCTTCTAATTAGGAGGAAAGGAGGAGCTTGGTCAACAGCTTGGCCTTCCTTGCGACATTGGCAGCACCTGGACGAACAGAAAGGATCAGATGACCGAGAGCACAACCAACACAGTGGAGCCAGTGGTGGGCTCCTGCCGGTTCAGAACGGGTCAGGCAAACCAGTAATTCCGACAATTAGCTGGCCCCACCCACCCACCCACCCACCCTATCCTGGCCTTTATTTCCTGCTTTCTAGCTCATCTCAATCATGTAGCACAACTGATTCCCCCTCCCCTTGCTGTTCTACTTACCTTGCTGACTTGGAAGGTAAGCAGCTGAGCTTCTAAATGCTCCATTTTCAGTGCTGTGTGCAAGTGCCTTCGGCACACTCATGTGCAAAACAAGCCGGTTGTTAAACTGGTTGCAGCCCACCACTGAGTGGAGCAAATTCGGTCCATGTCTAACTCGTGATTCCAAAGAGCTGAAGGCCCTTTTCCATGAGCTCACAATTCCCCAGCTAAAAAGGTTCTTCTTGCATTTTGAAACATTTTCGTGGCAAGAAGGCATGGGTAACTCAGCCCATGGGTATCCCCTGCTTCTGCAAAACCCCAGAATACCCACCCCAGGTACCAAAGGAATGCGGTGGCTGGCTTGCCATTAAAATGTGAGTTCATTAAGTTTCAGTGCTAGGTGAGTGTTAACGTTCAGTGGGACATTAGCAAGAAAGAACAATGGAGAAGGGTGGCCTGTAGGTTTCTTCACATTTCTATCTAATTTTTGCCTGGTTTAGGGGGCAGTGTCGTATGCCAGTGATTAACCAAGATGGCTTATGCCTTGAAAATTGTTGCTACCCTGGAAATTGGAGATTGCAGTTCAATCTTAACCTTCAGTAAGAAAAGACAGAAATTCCTTGGACATGAATGTTTAGGAACTGATATTGTATTAGAAAACTTACCAGTAGTGCTTACTCTTGGTCATCCTGTTGCATTGGTTCATCCTAGAAAAATAGAGGCGTTAGTCCATCCTGATATTTATCTATGATCAGACAAACCTGACTTTCAATAACTGCATAGTAGCAGTTCAGTCATCCTTGCTAGACAAGCTGAGAATTATAATGCCTGCAAGGGAGGGGAATACAATAAGTTGCATCTGCAGCTTGCTGCCCAACTGGGTTTGCTCAAATATACTTAACCAGGTTAATTAAAAACAAAGCTGCTGCATTTACAGCATAAGCTACATTGGGGAGTTTGTTTTAAACATTGGTTCTGGGTTGTTTGTGGCACAGCAGAGGATCAAAGCTAGAAGATATGGGAATGATAGATAGATGGGTCTTTTGGGGATTTAACCCCTTTTCTTACCTCAACATCTTTTCCTTGTCCTTTTCCTTGTCCTTTTCCTTGTCCTTTTCCTTTTCCTTTCCCCTTTCCTTTTCCTTTTCCTCTTCCCTTTCCTTTTCCTTTTCCTTTCCCCTTTCCTTTTCCTCTTCCTTTTCCTGCTTCCTGCTCATTTTCAGCTTCACCTTGATCCATTTGTTCAGGCTAAAAAACAAACAGGCAAGAGTATCCATTTGCAACGAGAGTTGGACTTGTCTGAAATGAAAAGATAATCATCTTTTTCCCCAGGCAAACAGCCAAATCTAGCCTTGCAAGCATACATCGAGGATTGCATTCGAAAGAGAAATGAGTAGTCGGGGCCCAAGGCAACAAAGCAGAACCACTTTATTTATATTTGCAGGTCATTAAAAATAAATAGAATCAATATCACTGCTCTCTAATCAGAGGGTTTGATCACTTTCCCCTCAATAGTAAAACTTACCAAATAAAGCAAGTCAATTTGGAGATTCCAAGATTCTTCAGGGGTGACATTGAGATCCAATTATGCGCTTCTGTTTTATAGTCTTGTGAACCTTCTCCAACTTAATGTCTATGGAGATTCTCAATCATCAAGGTGATAGTTGTGCCAAAGGTGCTTTTTCAAAAGGCAGCTAAACTTTATTGCAACTTTTCCCCTTTCAAAAACATTTCACTTCTCATCCAAGAACTGAAGAACCAGGAGAGTCCTGTTTCCTTTTGAAAAAGCACTTCTGGGACTTATCCAACATATCATTTTTCAGTTGTGATAAACTACAAGTCCCATTAACTTCCACAGTGAACTCAGCTCATCAACACACTGGTAGATAAGCAGACTGGGAGGGGCTAGTTTTCACTATCTAATAACGACTCTATAAATAAGCCTCACCAGGTGGAGTTTGGGAGACTTGTATTCCTAGTACAGTTGGAAGGCATCAAGTAGGAGAAGGATGGCTGAATGGATAAGAACCTCAGAGTTGTGCCATCTTTCTCCTCTGTCCTGGTTGAGAAGTTTGTCTCATTTTACCCAATGACAGGGCTAAACCAGAGGTGGTACTTGGCAAGTTCTGACCAGTTCTGGAGAACCGGTAGTGGAAATTTTGAGTAGTTCGGAGAACCGGCAAATATCACCTCTGACTGGCCCTGCCCCATCTATTCTCTACCTCCCATTGAGTCCCAGCTGATCAGTTGGGTCTTCTTTGGTTGCCCAGCACAGGAGAACGGAGCTGGAAAGCAGGTTAGTGGGGTGGGGAGGGAATGGAGATTTTACAGTATCCTTCCCTTGCCACGCCCACAAAGCCACGCCCACAGAACCAGTAGTAAAAAATTTTAAATCCCACCACTGGGCTAAACATGTTTATCATTTGCCAATGTAACATCCTTCAGCATACTTACAGCCTCTCTTTTCACCATAAGTACATGTCTCTAAATAAAAATAACAATAAAAGAACAGTTAATAAATTCTGGTTTTTCTCTAGTAATCCTAGAAACAGAAGTTTTGCTGCCGGTTGCTGGGAGTTCATTTTTTTTAAGGCCTTCTGGGAAAATTGCCTTCTTTCCCCCTACTGTCTTGGTACAAAGGAAATTGGTTTCTTTGTCCAAATTCCTTCAAAGGAAAAGAGATTTCTGGAGAAATTCTCATGAATTGAGTAAGGTCTTGAATTTCCTGTAGATCAAGGCAACCTTAAGACTTGTGGACTTTAACTCCCAGAATTCCTCAGCCAGCTGTGCTGAGCAATTCTGGAAGTTGAAGTCCACAAGTCCTAAAGTTGCCAAGTTTGGAGAGTCCTGCTTTAGATGAATGGTGTTCTGACCTGGGCTTTGTCAAACGTAATAAAACACAAACTGAATTTAAAAGTAAAACCTATTTTAATGTGACGGGAATTACTTGCATTTCCAGCCAAAACTCATCACACACAGTTCCTCCAGATAAAAGCACGCTTTTCAGTGCTGTAGAATGCTGCCAAAAAACCCGGAAGTCCAATTAAGGCTAACGTAAGCCAACCCAAAAACCCAGAGAAAAGCTGACCAGAGTACAGAGCTTCATGAAGAAATGACTGAACTGCTTTGCTTCCTGCAAAGCTTCTTGTAATTGAGGACTGATTTTTATCCCTTATGGGAGGCACAATCACCTCCCAGCCTTACTCCTGAGTCGCCCCTTTTGTTTCAGCTGCTCTCGCCTTCTAGCAGCTCTGCGCATAAAGGCACTGAGAACAGGCTCCCCTGGGTCCTCTGCCTCACTGCTGCCAGACTCTGAAGGCTCTGAAGACAGCACCCCACCCTCAGATGATCCTGGCCCCATCCCTGCATTGGATGCAGGACCCTCGTCCAAGTCCTCGCCAAACTCCCTGACTGGTCCCCTTTCTTCCTCACTGTCTGATACCTCTGTCATCTGCACCGGCTGCCGGCGAACCACAATAAATGGTCATGAAGTGATGGTTGTTAACCTCCTGCCTTTTATTATACAATCATCTTTGTGGGGGGCGTCCCTGACTTCTCATTATATTCCAGACTTTTTCAGTTGTTTTTCTAGACTAGGAAGGAAGGAGCAGCAGGAAGGCATTGATAAAGTGTTGCAGAAGGCAATAAACACTTTGACCAGTCATCCTGAGCTTCCCACCATTCTCTGTTCCATCCTAAGTATTGAGGGAAGTGGATGGGTTGCCTTGCAGAATAGACCAAAGGATAAATACTAGTCTTGTAGCATCTGTCTGCAAGTTGTAGGCCCAGAAACCACCTTAGAGTAAAACGCCTTGGTTTGTGCTCAATTATACAACTTAAAGAGATATTAGTGTAACATTTTTGACACTTACCAGAAGGTTATTTGGTGCTGGCACAGGTTTTACATGAGAAGCAGCAACCTCTTGGAGTTCCTGTTAAAAAGGGGAAGCGGGAATCAAGTACAAGTGAGAAACTACAAGTCCCAGCAGCCTCCACAGTGAACTCAGCCCATCCAATATATTTGGAGGAGAATGATTTATCTTATTGGTATCATTATTATGATTCTTATTACTCTGTTGCTTTGCGTGTACATTGAGAGCTTCTGGACTGGAAACAAATTCCATGTGTGTCTAATCACACTTGGCCAAATACAATATTATTCTATTCTGTTCTGTTCTAAATTCTATTCTACTCTAAATTCTATTCTATTCTATTCTATTCTATTCTATTCTATTCTATTCTATTCTATTCTATTCTGCATTCTATTCTCTTTTCTCTTTTTTCTCTTTTGTCTTCTCTTTTCTTTTCTACTTTATATTTACTATTCTATTATATTCTGCATTCTATTCTGCATTCTATTCTCTTTTCTCTTTTTTATTTTATTTTCTATTCTGCATTTTATTCTATTTACTATTTTATTTTCTATTCTATTCTATTCTATTCTATTCTATTCTATTCTATTCTATTCTATTCTATTGTCTAATGGCTTCAAATAATCCACGCCAGGTTGAATTTTGGAGACTTGTATTCCCAACAGAGAATGAAGTAGGAAAAGGATGGCTTAGTGGATAAGAACCTCAAAGGCTTGTCATCATTCTCCTCCCTCATGACTGAGATGCTTGTGTCCCTTTATCTAATGATAGAGCTACCCTTGTATGTCAATTGCCAGTGTAGCATCTTTCCAACATACTCACAGCTTTTTTTTCCTCCAGGAGTTCATGTTTTCCCTAAAGAACGAATAATACAAAAGAGTTAATGCATTCTGTTTTCCCCTACTAATCAAAGAAACACCGAACAGTTTTGTTGTTGGTTGTTGGGAGTTAAATAGGCTGTCAACTCACTAAGCTTTCCTGCCCTGCTCCCGAGTTGCCATAAGGTGCGGCGGATGGGAAATTGTACCTCGCAGCTGCACCAAGGAATTCACACCCCAGTCAAAACAAAACACCCCCTAGCTGCCTGAAGTCCAGGCAATCTCCACAGAGATTGGTCGAATGGAGTGACTTCTACAACCCACAAAATTGCTTCGTTGGGGAATGTGACTGCTGACACACCTTGTGGGAGAGGGGGCAACAGGGTCAGAGGCAAGGCATGAACTGGGTAAAACCAGAGCTGGCTTTGCTGAATTGGTGCCGACATGGCACTCCTAATAAATGCATGGATTTTTCTTACTAAATGGGTCGAGGCTCCTGGTTTTATTAGGGCATTGGTCGGAACCCTGACGTAGGCTTTGCAAATGCCCTGCAGAAAGTTTTACGCTTCCCTCTATCACTTTGGAAGAAAGATGTTTTCTTTTTCCAAATCCTTTCAAAGGGAAAGAGATTGCTGGAGAAATTCTCCTCACTGGAGTGAAATCTTGAATTTACTTTAGAGCAGGGGTGTCAAACTCAAGGCCCAAGGGCTGGATCTGGCCCAAAGGGGTGCTTAGTTCTGGCCTGCAGGGCTTCCCTGGAAACAGCAAAGGACTGGCTGTGGTGCCTCTGCCAGTGAAAACACAGTTTGGGAGGGCCACGGGCAGCTCTGTTTTCACTAGCAGAGGGTTTCAGGAGGCCATTGCAGCTGAAAACGGAACTCATGAGGGCCATGGGTGGCCCTCCCAACCTCTGTTTTCACTGGCAGAGGGTTGTAGGAGGATGTCACAGCAGAAAACGGAGCTTGGGAGCCTGTTTTCAAGGGCAGAATATTCGGGCCACCACAGGCACCCCTGACACAACTGATGTCGAGCTGGCCATGCCCCCTAGGCCATGCCCCCCCATCCCCCACCAAGGTCAAACACAACCTGATGCCAGCCTGAATGAAATTCAGAAGCTTCTGACCAGTTCTGGAGAACCGGTAGCGGAAATGTTGAGTAGTTCAGAGAACTGGCAAATACCACCTCTGACTGGCCCCACCCCCATCTCTTCTCCACCTCCTGAATCCCAGCTGATTGGCTGGGTCTTCTTTGGTTGCCCTGCACAGGAGAACAGAGCTGGAAAGCAGGCTAGTGGGGTGGGGAGGGAATGGGGATTTTGCAGTATCCTTCCTCTGGAATGGGGTGGGGATGAAGATTTTACAGTATCCTTCCCCTGCCATCAACCCATGCCCACCAAGCCATGTCCACCAAGCCACGCCC